AGTGTCATATGCCGTGAAGCGACGATCAATCCAGGTGGCTATTTCGGCAAAGTTTTCATTAGTCAAAATGACTGAGAAAGGAGATAAAGACAATTCCGATACGTCGTGTGCCAGCTGCTCGGTGTGTGTCTCGTGCCTTATTGGAACTCGTTCAGGAAGAGGGATGACGATGGATAGATCACGTGGTTTTTCGGATAGCTGTAAAGTCGAATCATGAGTTTGAGACGGGGCCATGTAACGTTGCATCATGTCAATCCAAACGCTTTGATCCAAGATTTTCTGGTAAGGCCGAACTTTGTGATAAATGTCGTCTCCTGTGATTTTTGAATATCGAATTAGGGGTAGACAATTTAGCAAGGTAGACTTTAGAGTTAGAAAATCATTATCAGTCCATTGCTCAATGGTTGGTGGTAAATTCGGATTCCTAGAAATTCCCCATTTAATAACGCAATCCCAAACACTCGATTCCTCCAATTCCAAATCACGCCCAAGAATAGATATCAAAAGATTTTCTGGAAGAGAGTTAAAATCCTTAGAATTGAATATTAAATCTGGATACTTTTCCAGAATCTCGGCACAAAATCGAGACAAGCCAGGGAACTTATCGTTTCCATAGCTCAAATGATACACTTGGGAGAAATTTAAGCACAACCAGTTAGCCTTGTTTTCAATAATATATGGCTCTATATGCTTGACCAATTCATCAAGGGAAAATTCATTAGCGGCAACTATAAGATCGAAAATGACCGACGACTTCAAATTTTCTAAAGTAACAGAACCACCATAGATATATCTGATAAGAAAAGGAATACGTGAATTATTTAACTTTATCGATTCCGACAATAGTATCAAAATGTATATAAATTTATTATTTACTTAATAATGATTGCAAAACTTTCAGCAGAGACATTCTCGATTCTGACTTCCTTGACATTTTCGGAATTCAATGATGTATCAACAAGTTTACGACGAAAGAACGGCGATCGTTGGTATAAAATAGCCGAATGAGCTTTGAATAATTGAACATTTGGAAATAGGCCAACTTCGATGATGACATTATAATCGTATTCGCTCTTGAGAAGCTCGGTGAAGTCGCGG